AAAAACTAACACACATCTTAAATAAAAGTTAATTATTTTAATCTATTTTATTTTTTAGTGAATTAGTTTAGACCAAGGCCCGTTTGTTTTAAGAGATAAAGATGGGATTGGGATTGAAATGGAGGTTGGACTCATTATATGTTGTGTTTGCTTTGAGAAATGAAGAGGAGATTCATAATCTCATGGTCTTAGGATGGATCTTAGGGCCCGTTTGTTTTGAGTTAAGTAGATGTGAGGAGATTAGGATGGTGGAGATGTTATTTAATATTGTGTTTGTTTGTAGAGTTGGGGAAGGGATTAAGATGGTGGAGGTTGGGGAGGGGATTGAGATGGAGGTTGGGGAGATGGTATTAGAAAAATAATGAGGGGATTAGAAATTTTTTTATTTTTTTTATTTGTTATATATTGGGAATTTTTTTATAAATATTAATGTTTAATTTTTTATATTTTTTTATTTGTTTTATTATTTTATATAAAAATAATTTAACAATTCCTACACTAACAACCATCATCAAAACAAACACAATTTTACTTAATCCCTTCACTATCAATCCCCTCTATTCTACTTCTGAAAACAGAATCTCCTCCATTCTATCTCTGAAAACAAACGGGGTCTTAGTGTTAGAATTGAAATAGAAAAGGTAAAGATGGTATTCGGAAATTAGTCTCATGGGATTAGGTTTATTTATTTTTTTTTTATTTACATGTTGGCCATTTTTTTTCAACATTAACGTTTAATGTTTCTGTATTTTTTATTAAGTAAAAATCATAATTTTATTTATTTTAATATTTTATATTTCTTTTATAGGGTAATAATTTAACAATTCCTATATTAACATCTTTCATCAAAATAAATATAATTTTACTTAATTCATTCATTATCAATTCTCTCACTTACAATCTTTTTATTAATAATATATTTACTATTAACCCTCCCTATTTTACCTCTGAAACGTCGCCCGATATCTTTCCGAACCCTCACAACTTGTTATCCTATGTTAGTGGTGACACCAGTTGCACTTGTGATAATAGTTGAAGCGACGGTGGTATAGCAGAGTAGAGGTGACGAGTTTTGGTAATGTAATGGGTTGGTGATGGTGACTTTTCAACATTATGGAGCCTCCGTTTGGGAAGTGGCTTGATTTTTTAATTTTTTGACTTTTTAGTTATTTTAGTTTAGATTAAAAAAATTTGATTTGGGAAGAGCTTTTTGACTTTTTGACTTTTTTGATTTTTTTTGTAACAGAACAGTGTAATAATTATGGGTTAGATGTAATGTTTTATTTTTTGTGACTAAAATAGCCTATTTTATCTTTTGTGACTAAAATAACTAAAAAAACTCACTTTAATTCTTCCTAAACGGACCTTGAATAAGAAAGTCTGTTAGTTAAAATTTTAATATATTTTTAATAATTTAATATGTTAGTGAATCATATGGATTATATTTATCAAATACACTTCATTTATTTTTAATGAATAAATTTACTTATAAATATTGAACTAAATTATGAAAGCAGGTAATTAATTAAACTTTATTTTTTTAGATTCATAATTAAATTTGGATTGAGATGGAACACTCTAATTAATTTTTTTTATTAAAAATTCTCTAATTTCTCTTGCAATAAAATAGATAAAAAAGATATTTTATATTCTCTTTTCCCATTGCTTCTTTTTTATTTTTTATATCAAAGATAAAATGTTAGTAAAATTAGGTTACAAGTTAAAGGGGTCGCCGTTGATTCATTAGTTCAAACCCCTTCTTTTTTCCCTTAATAAAATTTTTCATTCTTGACCTTCTTTTTTCCCTTACAAATATATAGCAAACAAGATATTGGCCTCTTTTGGCAAAAAAAGATAAAAAACAGTTTTTTGGACTTTTAACTCCATCTTTTCTCTATTTTTTTATACATTTTAAAAAAAAAAGTCAAAAAAATTTAAAAAAACAAACTTTTAACCTACTTCCTAAACAACCCATTGTTAGGAAAATTTGTTATATTCACATTTTTATTTGATTATGGCCTATTTTAGAAATTTATTTTGTAATAACTTTTTACTAACTTGATGTAGTTAGAACTAGTATGGTTGTTATGTTTAACACCATAAGAGTTAGTTAGAGTTAGTTGGATCTTTATCCTATAAATATAAGATTAGGCTCCTCTAGTATTCAGTTTTTATGATACTTTGATATTGAATATTTCAAAGCTTAAGAGCTCTTATACCTATTTTGGGATTTTCTCTCTCTAATGAAATCTCTTTCTTGGTTGGTTTCATCATTTTGGTATTAAAGCAAAGGTTTTCTTTGATTCCAATTGTCTCTTCCAATTAAGAGTCAGCTTAAGAGTATAATGCAGTGTCATGTGTCTGAGTTAACTAGCTCTGCCTCTACACGGTGACTTGAGTTTAACATAGTTTGCAATTGAAGGGGTCGCGGCTTGCTTTGTGTTGCAATTTTAGAATCTAAATTTAGAAATCAATTTCTCACCCCAAATCTAGATTCAGAACTCATTCAAAGAACTAAGAGGACTTTTGCATCAAGAAATTTAAGAAATCTGCTTTGAAGAACAATGTATTCGAGTACATAGGGTTATGATTTTAGATCTGTTGAACTTTTTTATTGTAGTTGAAGGGTTCTTGTTTTAGCCTGCAATTTTGACTTGGAAGGTTGGAATTTGGGATTCGATTTGAAGCCCTGGTGTGACCTAGGTACTTCTTGACCTATTCTTGGTTTGATTCTCTTGGTCAAGACTTGCGATTTCCGTTAAAGATACTAGTAGAAATTTGGATTATTATGAATTTGTTCTTCAATTCGATTTTGTAGGTCGAGTTTGCCCTAGATCTTGACTTGCAATTTGAACGCAGCCTTCCAAATTTGACCTCGATGTTCGCATTTCAAATTCAAATCAAAGACCCTTGGTTGATCGTGATTTGTTTTCAGACTGTCCTTGAATACAACTTTGCGATTTGAATTTCAATCAGTCCATTTTTTTACTCAAGGTCAACCATGCTTGACTTGGTCCTTGTTCATCCATCGACCATCAAATCCACTGTTGTATGTCAATTCTATTGAGTTCTTGAATAGATATTGGTTCTTGAATGATCTTCATTGTTGCTGATTTTGTGGACTAGTTTGTTGCTGAAAATCGATTCTTGAATCTTGATCTCATTATTCATTTGATTCTTGATACACTCTTGCATTTGGGATCCTACGTGTTTTTGCATAATACATGATTCTTGATTTACTGATTTTCATTCTGGACTATTCAATTAAAGTTGAGTTTGTACGAGGATTGGGTTTCTAGACTGGAATCGGATCTCTATTGTTGTGATAAGAATTCTTCTTTGGATTAGAATTGGATCTCTATTTCTGTTATAATTCTTTGAATATAAGTCTGTGTGGTTCTTTCTGTCAATGGCTCTACAAGGTCAAGGTCGTAGAGGTAGCTGTGATCAAAGGTCATACCTCTGATTGGTGGAAACAATTACAAGTTGATAGGCAAAGAAATGGTCAAGAAAAGGTTAAAGAGTGAAGAAAGATGAGAAAGAAGTTCAAGGAGCACTTCTTGCCTTCTAGTCACGTGTTGCATTTGTTGGTTGAGAAGCACAAAAAAAGGGCATTTCAAATTTCAAACATTAATACCAAAGAGGTTGGGCAATCAGACAACTACCCTATGACTATGTCGAAGTTGGTTACTCAACTAGTGTGGGATGAAAGAGACTTTTGATGATAGACGTTATCATAAGATTCTCCTTAATGACGAGGTGGTTCAACCAAGTTATGATGAAGAAGATATGGAAAAAAGTAGTGATCATGGGCAAGATTATGGTATGGACTTTCCTATTTTTGATGTTGGAGCTTCCATCTTTAGCGAATAATATTATGATCAAACACAAGGTTCGTGATCAAGATGAAAATGTTTCCATCTTTGATAAATCAATGAGTGGAGCATTCGAATACAATGAAATTAAAGTTCATGAATATGAAAAGAAAGTTGATGTTTGTGCATATGGAAGAGCTTCAATCTTTGACCACTATGATGATGAAGATGACCTTCTTGTAGAGAGCGAAGGTGTACTCGAAGATGAAGAAAGTTTTGTAGATGAAGCAAGTTTTGCTCTCACATTGCTTCCCATGAAAAAAATGGTTGCAATCCCTCATTCTATTCCTTTTCTAAATTCGAAGAAAATTATGGTAGAGAGTCATAACATTAAAGTTTCATGGGTATTGACTGATCTTTGCTTCCAAGAAATGCCTTCAAAGACATTTGTTCCACTTTGTGTTGACTTGGTAGCCGGCTTGGCTTCGTAGAGGAATGATGCGTTTATTGTGGGCCCATGTGAGTATAGCATTATTTTGATGATATCTTGTTTCCAAAACGGCATGCTACATGGGTGGTCTATTCGCACCTCAAAATGGCTTTGGTTGATGTTCATAAACAATAACTCATTTTGATGAAAGGATATTTGCTAGGATGACCTTGAATAAGGACTTGCAATTATTTAGTCTTGGTTGTCATAGCATGTCCATCATATTCTCATAAGCCATTGTTTTGAGTCATTTTGTTGATTTTATTATCTTAAGCTATTTTGTTATAGCCCCAACTGATGTAGTAAAAACTAATATGCTTGTTATGTTTAGCACTATGAAAGTTAGTTGGAGTTAGTTAGGCCTTTATCCTATAAATATAAGATTAAACCCTTTGAATATTTAGTTTTTATAATATTTTAAGATTTTCTCTCTCTAATGAAATTTCTTTCTTAATTGATTTCATCACTTGTTATTAAAAAAAATGTGTATAATTTTTTACTAATAATTTTCTAATTTTTTTAATTAAAATGACTACTTTTCAAAATAAGTTTATGCTGAAAGTTATATTTTTGGAATTAAAATTAATAATAATAAAAAAGAGTGTCCTTTCTACTAGAGAATCCGGATCCTCGGTCGCCATTTCCTGTGGCAGTCCCTGCGGCCCTCGCCAAACGACGTCGTTTTTAATTTAATTTTTTTTTTTCTTTCAAAATTTGAGTTTCCCTTTCATCTTTCTCTATCGTCTCATCTATTTGTTTAGCCCTAACATAACAGAGACGAGAGAAAGACACACAGAGAGAGAGAGAGAGGCGAAGAGACGACGACGGAGGAACACGATGGAGGGAACAACTGAGAGAGATGGTGGAGGGGTGCGACGACGAAGGATGGAGGATGATGGAGGGACACGACGCGGCTCAACGGCAAGGTGAGATTGCGGCCATGACGAGGTCATTTCAAATTTTTCATGCTGTTATGTATATAGGTATATATGAAAAATCATATATATTTCAGATTATATATATATATATATCATATATACGTATATATATTTCAGATTTCATATATGAACATCTATATATTTCAGATTTCATATATATTTCATATATGCGTCTATATGATTGCTGTTATATACAATCCAGATTTCATATATTTTTCTCTTCTATTTTCTGTTTGGTTGTTGGTGAGTTCTGGTTTACTTGTGTGAATTTTGTATTCATGCCTTGTAGGTGTTTGTTGAAAGTTCTAAAAGAAATGACATTACTATTTTTTGTTTTTTTTGTAATAGAAATGACATTATTATTTGATTACAGCACAATAGTAAATTTTATTTGCTAAAGATACATATAATTTTCAGGTAGATGCTTCCCATTAGATATCATCCATGTCTTTCATTTTAGCTACTGTTACTTAAGCTAGGTTATTCTTATGCTAGTTTGTTTAAATGAATAAGCAACACTTGGTAATGATGGAGTGAGACTATATTAAAAAGTGTATTAACTCATCCAAAATTATTATAACTTCATTATTTTAAATCAATTAAAATTTAAATTCAGACTCAAGTAATGATGAATTCAAATCAACAATCTTGATCCTTTTGGTTTTGCTACTTCTATCCCTTGTTGGAAAGGCTCACCTGATGGCCTATGATGTGGTACTCTTGTTCTTTAGATGAGCCTTTGAGGGGTTGGATCAAGAGTAATTCCAAGAAAAAATCATCCTTGAATCATCATTGTCTTGGTTTGTTGTGTTTATTACATCTCTTTGGACCATTTGGAAAAACCGTAACAAATTGATTTTTTAGAACAAAACCACAAACATAGTGTTAAAAACCATTTTTGATTACTTTGATGAAATCCTTCACTTCTCCTAAAAAGTATCACTACTTTGATGAAATCCAATCTAACAATGTGGTCTTGCCTCATTGCAGGAATAATCAAGCTTAATACAAATGGGAGTATCAAAGGGAAATCTGCCTACGGTGGCTTCGGAGGGTTGTTATGTGATGGAAAGGGAGCTTGGGTCAGTGGTTACTATGGAAGATGGTCCCAATGAGAAATGCCCTTTCAAAGGACTAGTAGAAGATGCTCAAATCATTTTCAGGGGCTACAAATGCAATCATTTCAATGGATTTAAAGGACTTGCTCTCTTTTTTTTCCTTTTTGTTTTTTTTTTTTGTTTCATTTGGTACTTTATGATGTAATTTAGTGTAACGGTTGCAGTGGTACATTTCATATTCGAGAATACAAATATAGATGGTTGCAATTGTGTTGGTATATGATTAACAATATATTTGGTACTGCCTAATAATACGTTTTGTTTCATTTGCTCTATAATATGTTTTGTTTCTATATATATATATATATATTGTTTCATTTGCTCTATGATACGATTTGTTTAATAATAGCTACAGCTTCCAAACCAACCAACAACATAGCATAATATTTTTTTGCAAACCCAATAGATAGCAACATGACAACTCCAGTGGCATTTGCCTACAGTTTTTAAAATAAAAAATTACAACATAGAGTTTGGTTCATTGAAAATAATTTTGGGGCCTGGGAGGTGTGTTGGGAGGGGAAGTATGAAAAATGCAAGGAAGTTAAGAAGAGAAAGCAATGTAGTGTGCAAAAACATACATCATCTCACTTTTTTTGGCATTGAGGACAAGATCCTAACAGTCTCAAAGTCCCAACCTCTTCAATTTTTTATTTATTTTCTGACAACCTGTAATACAATGGTAATTCATCCCACACAGAAAAGTAGATTGAAGAAGTGAAGTATGCCAAGCAAATAAAGGACAATTTATCCAATTCAATTCATGATCCTGGTTGCCATTGATTTAACAAACACAAAATTTGGTCACAACATAAATTTGATATTAATAGATTTTTTATTCCAATAACATTTCTAGAAAAAATCAGAAACAAGTGTCAATTCTCTCCAAATAAACAAGAAGAAAAAAAATGAACAAAAAAAATCTAAATGTCAACTCCCAACAATACAAAATGAATTTTAATCCCCATGCATTATTATCAAGTATTGCCATTTGTTAGCTCCCATCCTGAAGCTCACATCATCACCATTATCCACCCATATCATTGTTGCATTGCATCAACCAAACTGCAAGCAAATAAGAAATTAAAGAAGTCAATTTTAATTTGTATCAAACAACACCATTCAAGCTATAAATAGATATTCTAGCTAGAGATATAAATCATTGGTAAGTTAGAAACCCAACAAAATATCAACTAACTCATAATAATCACAAACCCAACAAACATATAAGCAGAATCATCACCTCGTTTATCTTTGAGATGTAAATGATAAATCCTCATATACAAGTCCTCATTAGGTAGTATCGAGGAAGCGAAGAAACCAAGTGCTGCTTATTAATTTAAACAAACTAGCATAAGAATAACCTAGCTTAAGTAACAGTAGCTAAAAAGAAAGACATGGATGATACCTAATGGGAAGCATCTACCTGAAAATTATATGTATCTTTAGCAAATAAAATTTACTATCGTGCTGTAATCAAACAATAATGTCATTTCTGTTACAAAAAAAAAAAATTATATGTATCTTTAACAAATAAAATTTACTAGTTGTGCTGTAATCAAACAATAATGTCATTTCTGTTAAAAAAAAAAACAAAAAATAATAATGTCATTTCTTTTAGAACTTTCAACAAACACCTACAAGGCGTGAATACAAAATTCACACAAATAAACCATAACTTACCAACAACCAAACAGAAAATAGCAGAGAAAAATATATGAAATCTGGATTGTATATAACAGCAATCATATAGACGCATATATGAAATATATATGAAATCTGAAATATATAGATGTTCATATATGAAATCTGAAATATATATACGTATATATGATATATATATATATATAATCTGAAATATATATGATTTTTCATATATACCTATATACATAACAGCATGAAAAATTTGAAATGACCTCGTCATGGCCGCAATCTCACCTTGCCGTTGAGCCGCGTCGTGTCCCTCCACCATCCTCTATCCTTCGCCGTCGCATCCCTCCACCATCTCTCTCAGTTGTTCTCTCCATCGTGTTCCTCCGTCGTCGTCTCTTCGCCTCTCTCTCTCTCTCTCTCTCTGTGTCTTTGTCTCGTCTCTGTTATGTTAGGGCTAAACAAATAGATGAGACGATAGAGAAAGAAGAAAGGGCAACTCAAATTTTGAAAGAAAAAAAAAATTAAATTAAAAATGACGTCGTTTGGCGAGGGCCGCAGGGACTGCCACAGGAAATGGCGACCGAGGATCCGGATTCTTCTACTAGAGGAATGAAGGGAGACGGACAGACAGGTGTGAGCTGGAATTGTCAAATCAGAAATCTGAGATGGGGTCCACATCAGATTCGTTGGATAAATTTAAAAAAAAATACTTAAGATTCTTATTTTTTTAAAATCTATACAACTCTGTTTGGATCTTCACAGTGATATATGTTTTATGTATGCATAGGATTCATATCATCAATAATAAAAATTTAAAAAGAATTGTAAAGATCTCTAGAAAAAATAAAAATTTCAATCATTGTTGATAAACTAAGGCCTTATTTGACATAAATTAAAAAAATTTAAAAAATCAAAAAGTCACTATCCTATTTAAATCACATCACCTCTCTATCACATCACTTTAAACCCAATTCATATTTAACTCATATTTTATAAAAAATTAAAAAATATAATTATTTAGATCATCTCAGACAATTCCTAAAGCTTTCAACTGATGTTGAGAAAATACTATTTTACGATTTCAATTGTAATTTCATACGACTCACTGTATTCAAATAATTCAGTTATATTTGCATAATATCCGATTAAAAAAAGTCATTTGCATAATACACAAATCATTTTAGAAATTACTCCCAATAATTTTAAAAATCACATTATACTCTCTAAGATTTTTAATTTTATAATAAATAAATCTTTTTATTAATAAATTGTCAAATTAATTAATAATTTTTAATAATATTAAAATTTTATTTTAATTAATAATTCAGATAATTTTATTATTGTATAAGTTCTCACACAGTTGAGCTCCACCAAAAAAATCCTTAATTGCATTAGTTATCTCATTGGAATCAAATTTTTGTAATCCATAACAAAAAAAAATTAGAAACTTACAACTACCCTGTGACGATTATTCATATAGCTAGCCTAGAACATCACATCTTAGTCTTTGATTTTGGCATCCTGATCTTATAGGTAAGACATAAACGTATTTGTAATTTTTCAAACCACATGAAAAAATTCATATTTTAAACAAACCTCAAGAAATATATTTGTAATTTACCCAAAAACAAATAAAGAGAGATAAATTAATTTATATTGAAACAAATAATTTTACATATATATATATATATATATATAATTTAATTATATTAATATTTATTTTATTATAAATAGTGTATTTAATATGTATATACTTGTTAAATAAAGTGAATCGTATAGTTAACAATTCATTCATTAATTTAAAACAAAACGATTTACTATTCGATTTAATGATTTTTTGGAACAAAATAATAAAGGAATTGTATACAAACTTTTAAAAACCCTAGTATTCATGACTTAATGGACATGAAATCAAGAAAAGCCAGTAGCTCCATTCATGGAAGCTGGGGCAAAACCATGCAAAGAAGCTTTTTGCACAAATTCCACATTACACAGAACTGTAACCCACAAGAGCAAATATAAACCTAAAATATGGTAACTCACAAGAACAACAATAATGAATCAGTCCTTTCCCAAGATGCCCTCCGCTAAGAACCCATTATCCAATTTCAAAGCAGGCAACAAAAAAATTCTTTCATCATCTGCTTTTTTTCATATTTGCTTGCCCACCACCTCATTCCTAGCTGCTCTTCAATGCCTTCAATCTTCTGTACCCCTTGTCAGTTCCGAATATCCTGACGAATAATTAGTCCATTAAGCCAATGTCACATATTCCATGCTATCTTCTAAGCATTATTATATTCATTGACATTTAGAATAAGCATCAAATCGACCAGCAAAAGCATGTTATAATTCTAAGAGACCATATCCTGTTTGCCTTCGAGACGTTATTACCTAGTTGGGTTACAAAGGGAAACAGAACTAGAATATGCACAAATGATAAAGCAACTTTTCTATCATACCCTACCAAAAAAAAAAAACAAAAACAGAATTTCTATATAAGCTGATGCATAATCACTATTGTAGCTCACGTTTCTTATACGGCACGATAAGTTTTTCCAATTGTCAAGTTAGTTTGTGCAATCACTAAATGATCATATATGCATACATAGCACATGGGGAAAAAACAGCTATCAAACCTATAATCGAAAACATCCTAGAAGTCAAATGGATAGTTTCATTATCAATTAAACTCAACTCAACAACCTTAATCCCATTATTTGGGGTTAGCTATGTGTACCCATCGTCTAACCAGCCCTACCTAGAACCATATCACTGGTTAAAGTACAAGCCAAACATCATGTTCATTCAAATTGTCCTTTTGGCATCTTTAACATGGATCAAATTGCTCCTACACATCAATTCATTAATTCATGAACATTGTATGTAACCAAACAATATCAATTTTACCTTACATTTATCTCCCTAGTAGATGCCACTTCTAGTTTTCACGATTGCATCTATATCTTATTCTTACCTTTTCTTGTAACAACATTCCTCCATCTCATCATCCTCTTTTTTGCTACACCTTTCATTTTTCAAGCATATTTCTTAATTGTCCAAGATTCCACACCATAACTGGTCGTATGGCCTTCCTATGTAAGCTTTCCATCAATTTCATGGGAATTATACAATCACATCACTCCTGAAGCATTTCCCCATTTCTTTCATCCTAATCCAAGTTTATGTGAAACATACTCCTCAATCTCCCCTTCTTCGTGTATATAATTAATTCAAGATATCAAAGTATACTTCAACTTCACCAACTGAACCTAAAAATATTTAGATTTTAAATGATTCCTCCACATTTCTAACGCCATTCTAAGAACTACTCCAATTTCCTTAATTAAAACCATATCTTCAACAAGTAACATACACCTCAAGATATGTAGTATGCACATTATTGAGTCACGATTAATGTGAAAAGATAAGGACTCAATGCTAATCCTTAGTGGCACGCTTGTTGTTATTGGAAATTCATGTCTCTCCCCCCATGATTCTCACACAGTTGAGCTCCACCAAAAAAATCCTTAATTGCATTAGTTATCTCATTGGAATCAAATTTTTGTAATCCATAACAAAAAAAATTAGAAACTTACAACTACCCTGTGACGATTATTCATATAGCTAGCCTAGAACATCACATCTTAGTCTTTGATTTTGGCATCCTGATCTTATAGGTAAGAATTTCAAGGTAATTAAATTTTATGTATCTTGAGTACTTCTAAATTAACACACAAGATATATTAAGTTAGTTGCCGTATTCCACCAGGATGTAATTTTCATCAACTCTCTGGTAAATGCAGCTTGAACAACTAAACTACAGACACCAAATGATCAAAAAAGGGACCATAGAACACAAACATGTGTGTGTGCATGTTAATCAGTATCAAATGTATCCATGATTCACCAACTTGGTTTGTAAATGTTATAGCAATAACAGAATTTTACATTCCAACCATACAAATCACAATATTTATCCTGCAACCAAAAATAAATAAATAAATTACCAGTCCATGTAAATAAAAGTCGAGGAGTAGTTGCCAGACTTTGTGTAGAGCAGTCGGTGATGATAGTCATGAAAATCAGCCCTGTAACATTAATAAAACAGATGTCAGGTATATCGAGCAAGTGAAAAAAAAAGGCTGCTAAGAAAAAAATAAGAAATTAATATACTGACCCTCCGTATAAGGGTAAGAAGTTTGAGAGGCTCCAGGGGAAATGATAACCACAATGTGCCTCAACTGTCTCCAGGACTCTAACTACCATCCACAGCCACAGAGTTATTAGATGAGGCCCAGTGATGACAGGACCAATAATTGTAGCAAATCCAAGGAACAGGATCTCAGCAGGGTGAGCATATTCAGACGTCAGTCCAAATGGTGTTGCATACCTGTAGATTCAATAAAACATACTGCTACGAACATAATACAAACTACACAAAAATAAGCACTTCAAAAACAGGGTAATTTATATAAGCACTCGATGCTTGTCACTTACTCATGATGAACACTGTGAACATGCTTGTACAGCCATTTTGTATGTAGAATCCTGTGTCCCCAATAGAATACAAAGTCCTCCAGAATGAAGTAGAATAAAATCTGTATTGAAATTACTTTCCTGCTCAACCAAAACGTTCACAAATCACTCCAAACAAGATCTATGCATCAAACAAGATGAAAGCTGTACAAGTATTCAGCATAATTGAAACAGCTATTTAGCTAGAGTAATAAAAGAATAACATAAAATAATATCTGCAAAATTAAGATTTAGTATATAAAGAACCTCAAAGTACCAGGATGGCAAAGGGAGACTACTTCTCATGCCCATGAATCTGAAGACAGGATAGGAAACAATCATAACTGGTAGATTGACACAAAAATGATACAGCAGTAGCCGAGTGATACATTTCTCCTGAGCTTCAGGGGAGTTATTTTTTGGCTGCATTGGACCACAAATTAATAATAACACTAATAAATATAGATCCAGGCAGTAACACGAGGTCGATCAAAACAAACATGTTAAATTCATTAGTTAGGATTAATAAATTTATTAACTCATTAGTAGCACTGATAAGAAATCATAGAATTTTTTGGTCTCAAGTTATAAGCCAAAACAACAGCAACACTTGTAATATGTAGACAACTTTCAGTATTACATTGAAAATCATAAAAGTATTCTGCTACGACAAAATATGTAGACAACTTTCAATTTTTAGTGTTCATCCTCACTATCGCCAAAATTCCCCCCAACTGTAATTCTGACATAAATCTAACTTGAACTGGGGAGAGACATATTGAAGACCAAAAGAGATACAAAACTTCCCTGCAGTGCATTAATTTACAGATGACGATTACTATGATGAAGATGAGAACGAGGATACAAAGTTACTAATATGAGATACAGAGAGTGCTATGAGTATTAAGGAATCAGATGAAAACATATGGAAAGGATTAAGATATCTGCTAAACAAGGACATTCCTGGTTTACCATTGTATTCAATTTTGACAGACATCACACACATCAAATTAAGTGAAAAACAACTTTGGGTCTCAGTGGCAGCATCAGGTTTGTTTTCTTATAAGATTTCTGCATCAAACCTCTTGCTTCTAGCTCAGAAACCAACTTATGTTAACCAACATATTAGTCATATAGAATAAATCTTGTAATGAAATTGCAAGTGACTTGCCAAATGCAGCAACATAGAAAACAAAATGAAGATTCAAAGGAACGATTACATTCCTCTGCCAGGGCTCGTTCCGATCCAAGTTTTCATTCACGTGTTAAGCATGTCGCTAGTGTTCATCCTTGGATCAAACTCTCAATGAGATTCCTAGTTGCATTAACATTAACATGTTGTACTAGGGATTTTGTTAAGACCAATGATGAGATCATTTTAAATGGGTAGAGAAAAGGGAAGAAGATACATTATTCATAATGGCTGAGTTGTAAGAACATGGAGAAAGAATTTCAGAAACCTGTACTAATATGTGGCTAGCAGAGAATGGATATGGAGCTGCTTGGATCCTCAGAAAACAGTACTGGTTTGTCATCCATCCAACCTCATAATAATGGAATGGATAAAAATAAAAGCAAAGCCTCCCATTCTGTATGTCAAGATCTGAAACACTGACTAGATATGCTTTTGCTGTCTCATTAAGCAGCAATTAAGAGAAATAGTAACACAGCCTATATCCAGCATGACTACATATGAAAAAATAGTAAATCAAAGATAAGTGAGCTCAACTAACACCTTGCTATGGTTGGACCATGTGTACCTAAAGAATATGGTTGTTACAATCAAGAAGCCACAGTCAAATTTATGTCGATGGAAAAATTCTCTCCATAGAAAAACAGTTAATGTAATGCAAAAACTCGTGGCCAAAATATAAAAATAGAGACAACTTTTATAAATAATAATAATAATAAAAAGTTTGCTGCAACTATTGAGTAGGGAAAAAGCCAAATCAAAACAAAATTTGACAAAGTTACACCACTGACTAATTCAACTTAAATTTGTTTTTCCTTTCCATCTTGTAATAACATGATGAAATTAAATAAATTAATCATTCTAATTTAGTAAAGCCAGGAGTAACAGACCTGAATTTTGTATTTGCTCAGCCATCCTGCTCTTTCAAAGTAAATAAAAGGTAGTCCCGATAAGAAAAAGACACTTTCATGAAGAAAGAAGCTCCCGAGACACGCCAGTTGAAAATCATTGAAATGAGTGATCACATACTGTGGATAAACGAATAAAAAGTTGCACAAAATAATAATAATAATATTAGATAACAACGAAAACAATGTGAAGCGTGAATACAGCGCAAAGATTTCAACTACGTCCCCAAATCAGCATTCCAAACCTCCAGAATCTTGACATTCAATCAATAAATATTGTCTATAAGTATCTAGAGGAGATCCAATAACTACCCATATTTGCAGGCAATGCCTACGAGTAGCTAATAAATGATAACTAACTTGTCATTAACATTACCCTTTTTCATTATTTAGCTAATAAATGATAACTAACTTGTCATTAACATTACCCTTTTTCATTATTATATCTTCCCACATTGCAATGCGCCAATTACTTATAGACAAAGGACCTCATGAACCACAAAAGACTCCACAAAAAATCTGTTAGAATAGGAAATTATTATAATAGGAAATATTAGAATAGGAAATAATTGTATTTATTCTTTTTTTTTTTCTTTTTTGTGATTGCTCAGACTATACCTGTAATTGCTTAATTATCAATATAAAAGGGAATGAAGTCTAACTCATTCCCTAATTCCTTCTCTTCTCTAAACCGACATGGTATCAGAGCCAAAACCCTAGCGCCATCTCTCTGTTGCCTTTCCTCTCCCGTCAACACAGTTCAAACCAACCAAACCCTAGCCTCATCTCACTATAGCCCACACCCAGCCTACCTACAGTCAAACCCCAGTCTCAACACCTTTGCCCCGCTATCTTGACAGCGTCGACCTCTTTCCTACCTTCTAAGGGGCTGTCGACAGTCCCTCTGGCTTCCTAAAGGGGTTGTCGGTAGTCCCTATGGTGTCATAGGCCTCTGTCGGCACTCCCTCTGGCCATCTAGGCCCTTGTCTGTTGCCATCTTCAACTTCACCTCTCGTCTTTGTTCATCATGGTTCATCTCGTCTCTGCGTAGGACTCTGTTGATATAAACTTTGTCTGTCCTTGTCCTTTGTTTGTTTACATCTCTGTGAACTATTGTTTAAAACACTCAACAAAAAAAAAAAAAAATCCCTTCGGTTGCTTTCTGGTGATGTTAAAAATAAAAAATAAATAAATAAAAATTGGATTCTTAATTTTTTAGTGGTTATTGTGCTTGTTCCTCCGATATCATCTTCCGAGTCTGTGATTGGCATCGTGTTTGAGGAATAATTAGTAGTCTCCATGGCGGATTTGACTAGTAAATCTACTACCTCTCTACCATCTCAGGGCGAAAGTTCTGTTATCCCTTCCACTATGACTGATAACGTCCACACTGGCCTTAGAATCACCACCTCTCCATTCAATGGTCAGAATTACCTAGCATGGTCACAGAATCTGACTATTTTCTTAAAGAGCAAAGGGAAGATGGGATATGTTGACGAGGGGGTTCAGGCACCCAGTCCCACCGACCCTCATTATGACCAGTAGGAAATCACCAATTCTCTGATTATGGGCTGGTTGATCCATTCTATGGTTCCGGAGATTGGAGAAGGCTTACTTATCTCTAGACACTGCCCAAGATATTTGGGAGGCCGTAGCAACTACTTACTCCAGGAAGGGGAACTTCTCACAGGCTTTCAAGTTACATCGCTCCATTGGTCGGTACAAGGTGAACCAACTATCCTTCAGTATTTTACCTTCCTTAGCAATGGGTAGAAGCGGCTTGATCACCTTCAAGATTACAAGCCTGTTTGTCCCACTAATTTTGCTGGTTACCGGAAGTTTGTGGCTCAAGAGCAGGTCTTCAAGTTCTTGGAATGCCTAAATGTAGAGTATGATCCAGTTTGGAGCAGAGTAAATGGCATGGATGTGCTTCATTCTCTCTAACAAGCCTTTGTTTTTGTGCAAAATGAGGAGATTCGCCGTTCTACGATACTTCCTTCTACTACTACTAATCGCTCGGCCTTAGTTTCTGCACCCTCTCGTGATGGCGACCGCGTGACTCGTGGTTCTCATCCTTCCTCTGAAAAGGATAATTTTTACTATAACTACTGTCGTCAATCTCGCCACACACGCGAGACTTGTTGGAAGCTACATGGTACTTTCCCTGGTGGCCGAGGCGACTGTCGTGGTACTCGAGGGGGTCGATCTAGTACTAGAGGCTGCGGGTCCGATGCACGAGCTCATCTTTCAGACACTATTGAGCCTTCATCTTCATCTCCGGTTGTCTCCTCCGCTGCTAATGTCTTGGGATTATCTGTCTCAGATTTTGAAATTGCTCTTCGCCACTTGCTAGACCGGCTAGCCTCTACTTCTACTATAGGTACACCTTCTTCGTCCTTTGCTAATTCAGGTAACTTGGCTTCCTTCCCATATGCATTGCTATCTCATATGCATGTCCCATGGATTATTGATTCTGGTACTTCCGACCATATGTCTGGCTCCTTTAATTTATTTTCAGAATATAACCCCTCCTCAGGTCAGGAAAAAGTCTATATTGCTAATGGTACCATTTCGTCTGTGTCCGGAAAAGATTTAATTCATGCCACATCTTCCCTTCTTTTGTCATCTGTCCTTCATGTTCCCAATTTCAGTGTTAATATTTTATCTTTAAGTCGTATTACACGTGACTTAAATTGTAGCGTGACATTTTTTTCCTGATTGTTGTCTTTTTCCAGACCTCATCACGAAGAAGAGGATTGACAGTGATAGAGAGGAACATGGGCTCTACATTCTGGATCAGACAAACAAGCTGGCTCATTCATCTATTCAGCTACTATTCACCAAGGACAACATTTGGTTGTGGCACCGTCGCTTAGGACATCCCTCTTTTTTTATTACTTAAGCATTTATTTCCTTCTGTTTTTGAGAAAAATAATGTGTCGAATTTTCAATATGAGTCTTGTCAACTTAGAAAGCAACACATAGCCTCTTTTGCTCCTTCTATTAATAAAAGTTTAGTTCCATTTTTTTGATTCATTCTAATGTCTAGGGTCCTTCCTATTTTGTGTCTTTAACGGGTCAAAAATGGTTTGTTACCTTCATAGATGATTGTTCCAGGGCCACTTGGGTCTATTTGATGAAAGATATAAGTGAGGTATTTTCTGTGTTTCAAAACTTTCATAAAATGATTTGTACTCAACTTGGGGCGGTTGTCAAAATTTTACGTTCTGATAATGGAGGGGAATATATTGACTCTGGTCTTGCCACTTACTTCACCACTCATGACATTATTCACCAGACTTCATGCACTAATACCCCTCAACAAAATGGGGTTGCAAAACGCAAAAATCGCCATCTTTTTGATGTTGCCCGTTGTCTACCCTCTGAAATGCGGGTCCATTGATCCTATTGGGGGGAAGCGGTTCTCACTGCCGCTTATTTAATTAATCATCTTCCTACTCAAGTCCTTCAAAAACAAACACCTCTTCAAGTGTTGTTCAGGTCAACCTCTTCCGGGTTCTCCATTCCTCCTAAGACTTTTGGCTATGTTTGCTTTGTCCATAATTATTCACCCACTCGTGGTAAATTGGATCTTATTTCTTTTAAGTGTGTTTTTCTGGGTTATTCTGCCACCAAAAAGGGTTATAAGTGTTATCATCCTCCCACTCGCAAATGGTTTGTCTCCACAGATGTCGCTTTCTTTGAGTCTCAGCCCTACTTTCCGACCCCCCCGGTCTCCCAATCATCCCTTCAGGGGGGGCTTTGGTGTGAAGCGATTCTTGTTCCACTTCTGCAAGTGGTTGAAAAGATAGGAGATGATGAGCCAGCAGTTGTTGAAGAAAAGCAAGCAAGCAAAGTTTATATCAAGGACAAGGACAAACAGCAAGTCACCTAGATGCAAGAGACTACTTTCCTTCCTCTACTGCCAACTTTTTCTCCGGATGAGTGTCCAGAGTCACCCCCCTCTCCTGAGAGTCCAGGTAATTCTGATTCTAGTGCTTCTATTCTTGTTTTTTCAGATTTAGATGTTCCCATTGCTAGTAGGAAGGGGGTTAGGTCATGTACTCAGCATCCTATTAGTAATCATGTCTCTTATTCTCATTTGTCTTCCTCATATAAAGCTTTTCTGTCTACAGTGTCTTTTATGAGTTTACCTACCAATTTTCAGGATGCTCTCTCTATTCCGAAATGGAAACATGCCATGATAAAAGATATGAAAGCTCTCAGCAAGAGTAGCACTTGGGAGTTAGTAGAGTTACCTAGAGGCAAAAATCCAGTTGGATGTAAGTGGGTGTACACTATAAAACACAAAGCAGATGGTTCCATAGAACGGTACAAAGCAAGACTAGTTGCTAAGGGCTTCACACAGACTTATGGGATGGATTACCAGGAGACATTTGCACCGGTTGCCAAAATGAATTCCGTGAGAATCTTACTTTCTCTTGCTGTAAATTTGGATTGGTCACTTCATCAGTTTGATGTGAAGAATGCTTTCCTTCATGGAGACCTAGCAGAAGAGGTCTATATGGATATTCCTCCTAGTTTTGATGCTAAGTCCGATGGTAAAGTATGCAGGCTCCAAAAGTCTCTTTATGGGCTAAAGCAATCTCCGAGGGCTTGGTTTGAAAGAATCGCTCAAGCTATGTTCAAATATGGGTTCAAGCAAAGTCAAGTTGATCACACCTTGTTTGTGAAACACTCCTCACATGGCAAGACCACAACTCTTATTGTCTATGTTGATGATATTGTTCTGACAGGAGATAATGTTGAGGAGATTCCTCATTTGAAAGAATACTTAGCCAAAGAATTTGAAATCAAGGACTTAGGCTATTCGAAGTATTTTTTGGGCATTGAAGTAGTTTGGTCCAAGGGTTGCATCTTCATATGCCAAAGGAAGTATGTACTTCACTTGCTAAAAGAAACTAGAATGCTTGGAGGTAGACCATGTGATACACCTCTAGAATCGGGCCAAAAACTAAGTGAGGATCAAGAGGGAGATCCAATTGACAGGGGAAGATACCAGAGACTAGTAGGCAAGCTCATATACTTATCTCCCTCATGTCCAGACATTGCCATTGCCGTGAGCATGGTGAGCCAGTTCATGCATGCTCCTAGAACTTCTCACTTAGAGGCAGTTATGAGAATCCTGAGATACTTGAAGTCTTCTCCTAGAAAGGGCCTCTATTTCTCAAAAACATGGCCATCTCAGTGTGGGGGCATTTACTGATGCAGATTGGACTGGATTAGTCACTGACAGACGATCGACTTCCGGATACTGCACATTTGTGGGCGGTAACCCAGTCACATGGCGAAGTAAGAAACAGAATGTGGTGGCTAGATCTAGTGCTGAGGCAGAATTCAGGACTATGGCTCAGAGTGTATGTGAGTTACTATGGATTAAACTATTGTTGGGAGACTTGGGAATCCATCAGACTAATTCTATGTGACTATACTGTGACAACAAGGTTACAATCAACATAGCTCATAATCCAATTCAGCATGATAAAACTAAGCATGTGGAGATTGATCGGCACTTCATCAAGGAAAAACTCACTAGTGGCACCATATGTCTTCCATTTGTGAAGACTGGGAACCAACTAGCTGATGTTCTCACCAAGGGACCAAGGAGCAAATCCTTTCATAGCATTCTCAACAAACTGGGCATGAGAGGTATCTTCGCACCAGCTTGAGGAAGAGTGTTAGAATAAGAAATTCTTATAATAGGAAATATTAGAATAGAAAATATTTGTATTTATTCCTTTTTTTCTTTTTTCTTTTTTCTTTTTTGTGATTGCTCAGACTATGCCTGTAATTGCTCAATTATCAATATAAAAAGGAATGAAGTCTAACTCATTCCCTAATTCCTTCTCTTCTCTAAACCTACAAAATCTAGCAAGCACGGAGTATTCTTCACGTTAAATAATCCTATGTAACTGATAAAACCCAAATATTGAGAGCTAAATGAAGTATATATTCAGTCAACAATCAAATCGAATATACAAATCCATTGCTTCTTATAGTTTTGTAAGAAGGGTTAACTTGAACCCACTAAATTAATTGGACCCAATCAAAGTCTAATCGGAAAGTCCAAAAATTGGTCAGCTTGGAGAAATTATTACCAAATGGGCCAAGTGAATTCTATTGAACGGGCCCACAAGAAAGTCAACAAATTAGCCCAAGGAAGATACATTTCAAACATATATCTCTAAAGAAAGCCCAACAACCATTCGAGGAGGTCCAGATCATATGGGTGTCCGAGGAGGTTAACTGTTGCTTTCAGAAAAGATGAAACCTTCGGAGAAGATCCATTCTCCGAGGTATTTGCTTAGTCTTGAAAGGGTTCGGAATCACGAACCTAAAGACCTATTTGAACTCGAACTCAAAAGGGTTCAGATCCATGAACCTAGAGATCCAAAGCGCTTGGCTTCAAACGGATTTGAACATGATCTAGAAGCCGCTCCATTAATGAGTCCCAAAACACTTGCGAACTCGGAGCTTTCCGAGATCTACGCACCAAAACCATGCGAGTAACAAAGTCCGAACAAAGGACCCGATCTCGAGGACAGTGAGTAGAGATAAGTTCACTCTTCGGTTAAACTAGCCTATATCCGAATCGAGGTGGCACAATCTAGGGGGTCCTTAAGACTCTGCAATATTTGCAGCAACGCATTCTTTTGAACTACCCATGACCCTTCTGCAGCAGGGCGTCCTCTAGGACTACCCCTGAGCCCTTTGGATAATTTAGGATCATTGGTTAGGCGTGACTAAGAAGAAGGGTTTGCCGAGAAGTTGATCTTTTCTTCGGAATTTTTCTCATCCTCGGAGAGATCACCTCCTCGGACAAAGTGGTTAGAGAGAATATTCCCCATGTGCCTTGCACATGAGTTCCATCCTACATCACGAGGTGCCTATAAATAACACCCACCCATATGAGTTCCATCCTACATCACGAGGTGCCTATAAATAACACCCACCCATAGCTTTACAAAGGATGGGATTTTGGAGAGACAGCTCCTGGGAAAAAACTAATTTCCCTTTTTCTATTACCTACCTTGAGAGTGAAAGTGGGAGATCATGGGAGAGCTTTGCCATTATTCTCTCTTTAACTACTTTACTTTCTTCTTCACTCAATCTCTTATCTCCATCATCTCTTTGCTATTGTGTTCTTGGTTGTAACCATTGAAGAATCTAAGTCTCTCATCATTTCTAGAGAATTCGAATTTTTTTTTAAAAATTTCGAAATCTCCGACAACATTCTTGAACCCCCTCATACAAGCTTCACAAAAGTAAATTTCAGAAACTCAAAAGCCACATCTACAAAAATAGAGAGAAGGAAAGTCCAATTCTTCTTTCACAAATATACAAAAAAAACAATAAATCATGGATACACATACAGCCCCGCTTTTATTGTCCGTTTGGTAAGAGAGGTGAGTACAGAAAATAAATTATTGTGGTTTTTCATCCAGGTGAGAAAATAATATAAATGATTTTGTTTGCCCACTATAAATGTTTGAATGGATAAGAAAACAAAGAACATAAAAGAGGGATATGATTGACATTTTTTTTTCTTTCTTACTCTGTATATTAATGAGATTCTCCGTATTATGAAATTTTCAAAAAGCTTGAGACCGTTGTGAATTAATTGATTAAGACCCAACCCACTGCCATATCATTAGAGCTAAATTTAGAGTCATGTTCTAGGATCTCTAGAACTTTCTATAAAACTTTTATAACCAATCATCTTGTTTTTTAAGAAATCTCACTACTTTTAGTAAAAACTGAAATAGACAAAATAAGTTTTTTTTTTTTTCCCCATCATTTCTCATCTAATTTATAAACATTTGATACACTTTTATTGTCCGTTTGGTAAGAGAGGTGAGTACAGAAAATAAATTATTGTGGTTTTTCATCCAGGTGAGAAAATAATATAAATGATTTTGTTTGCCCACTATAAATGTTTGAATGGATAAGAAAACAAAGAACATAAAAGAGGGATATGATTGACATTTTTTTTTCTTTCTTACTCTGTATATTAATGAGATTCTCCCTATTATGAAATTTTCAAAAAGCTTGAGACCGTTGTGAATTAATTGATTAAGACCCAACCCACTGCCATATCATTAGGGCTAAATTTAGAGTCATGTTCTAGGATCTCTAGAACTTTCTATAAAACTTTTATAACCAATCATCTTGTTTTTTTTTTTTTTTCCCCATCATTTCTCATCTAATTTATAAACATTTGATACATCATTTCTCACCAAATCATCCCATCCAAACCTACTGTTAATGCAAACTGTAGATACCAAAAAACAAAAAAAAACATATAGACAAATATAAATATGTTGAACAGATCGAATAGTACCAATGCTCAATGTGGAATTAGCAATTTCAAGTAACAACAAAGAAAAGTTGAAATCTAGGGCATATAAAAATAAAAAAGACCACCGCTTGTTAGTGAAATAACGGAGAAACAGTACCAGCCAAACAGATTCGACGATTGTAGCCATGGGAAACCGGCGAGGAGGAACCTGATCTCCGATCGGCGCAGAGTAGGAGAGAGAGAAAGAGAGACGAGTGTTGGGTGAGGACTACTACTGAGAAGAGTGAAACATGGGGAATGAGACGGGACAGACTGTCACCAGAATATGCGAACCCCGGATGATTCAAAAACCACGTCTCACCACTGTCACCGGGTACTGGGACGCGGCTTGTCGCGACATGCTCCGCTAATAATAAACTTTTAGTGCAAAATATTACCAGATTTGTTTATTACTATACTTTCTTTTTTTTTTTAAATGTGGGTAAATTATAAATAAATTATATGAGATTAATTAAAATACGAATTATTTTTTTGTAATTTAAAAAAATTATAAATAACTTTTTATCAAAAAATTTTATTTAATAAAATTAATTGAAAAAGTGAAATTTTTAACTGTTCACCTATACAATAATGAAATTATTTGAATTATTAATTAAAATAAAATTTTAACATTATTAAAAATTATTAATTAACTTAATAATTTATTAATAACTAATAATTACACATAACAAAAAAAAGACATTTTTTATTTCATTTTATTTTTAATAGTTGGCTCCCACACACTTCGCTCGTAGAGTCGCATCACTGTTACATCATAAACTAAAACAAAAAGTAAATACAAAAATGGTTGCTTAAATATTAGGCAGAGGAAAGATGACAACAAAGTATCAACAATTAAAATTTTTTAAATTGATTGAAATGGTAAGAAGAAGCATGTGACCAAGCAGACTTTTTCAAAACAATTCATGTGTTACCCAAAAAAAATCAGAGAACTATTCTATGTGAAATACCATAAAAAAATATATACTATCAAAAGTATAACTACCACATAAATGACATTGGAATGCAAATTTTCTGCATTTATAAATAGCTTACCGAGAATAATTCTATGTGCACCTCTATAATAAGAGCTTATCAATGTTCCAAACCTCTTCTGTCCAATTGCAAACCAAAAAATTTAATAGCCTCATATCTGAATATTGAATAATATATATTTGAATAAAATAAGTTCAGTAAAGCTTGTCCATAAAAAAAAGCTTTTCGAAATTGTTGTTTGCGTTTGTGTTTTGAAGGATAGATACATGTCAATATCTAATTTAAGGGCTCTCCTTCGACAACTCCGAAACCACTCAAATTTGCACAAACACTTCAGCAATTATTTTTTATCTCAACTTTTTATAAAGGTAGGCGTAGGGTTTTGGTATTGGAAAGTAGCTATTTTAGCAACTGTTTAAGCTATTGGGATCCAAGAAATTTTCCACATTGAATAAACAAAATAGTTCCAAATAACAAGTCATCTATGTTAATTACTTGTGTCCCAAATCGTAAGTTTCAGTCTTTTTCCAACAACTATTAGCAACTTGATCTCGAAATCCACACATGGAAATGGTCCTAGCAAGGACTTTAAGCTCAATATTTAATGAATTCAAATAAAAAATGAGTACAGCCCATCAAAAGAAAAATAAAGTGCACATTGATTTTTCAGTTTATATCATTTCCATTCTTCACATGAGAACTATAGCCCTGTTTGGTAGGGCTTATTTCCAGTTTGTTTCAGCTTTTAGCTTAATTTAAGCTATTTTGATGTGTTTGGTTCAGCTTAACAATACAGCTTATAGGTTTTTGTAAGTCAAAAATCAACTTATTCTTTGAGTGGGGGAGGAGAAGCTTAATTTATAAGTCAAAAATCAACTTATGTTCACAGTTATAAGCTGTTTGGTAGAGCTGTGGGAAAGTGCTTATAGCTTATGTCTAAACAGCTTATAGCTTATAACTATGAACATAAGCTGATTTCTGACTTATAAATTAAGCATCTCCTGCCCCACTCAAAGAATAAGCTGATTTCTGATTTCCAAAAAGCTATAAGGTATAAGCTAAACCAAACACATCAAAATAGCTTAAATTAAGCTGAAATCTGAAATAAGCAGTTTTTAAGCTGCACCAAACAGGCACATAAGCCGTTAAGTTATAAGATATAATCACTTTCCCACAACTCTACCAAACGGGGCCTATATTAGCTAAACAAGCAAAAAGAAACTACCTAAGCTAAATTGCTGCGTGGAAGTTCACAAAACGCAAGTGGATGAAAACGATTCCAATCATAAGAGAATGAGAAAATAACATAACAAGCATCAACAACGTTTGCAGAAGTAAACCCACTTCAGAGCTGAAATTAGCAAAATAACATCACAAATAGTTACAAAAAAAAATTGAGCAGCCCTGTCAAAGTAGAGAAGCTTTCTAATGTGTAGGTTTAGATCCATAGAAAACAAAGTGATAGACAACAAATTTTTAATGTATAAGTTCAGTTATCCTCTAGATCATCATATCTTCTAAGTTAATATCATTGAGATTTAGTTATGAGAACAAATAAGATTCACTTAAGCCACTAACAATAACCTATTTGAAGTGGGCCTCATAACCAATAGGAAGATAGAATAAATGAATGGACTAAACTGGTGGAAAAAACTAATAATACCTAGAACCAAAAATACAAAAGTAAAAGACTAACATAAATTTTAAAAATTATGATAACTAACAATCTTTGTGCTTTTCTAAGATGGAATCGATCTGATTACCTCGCTAAGGTGATCTCCAATCTTGAGCCGGTGGTGAAAGTCTCCACAATGAATGATATGTTGTTTAGCTCTAAAAAATAAAAATAAAAACATTGTTGAACATAAAAATAGACTCCAAGAAACTTGGTTACATAGAGTACAAGAAGACATAATTTTTCAAGTTAGGTTGACAATGATAAATAGAAGCGAAATACCATATGACATTGTTCTATGAGCAAGACCGGCTTGTTAGTCTAACCATTTGTGGGATGAACGTGTTAAGAAGAGAATTTTGAGATACTAAAATGATTAACAAATATATAAAAGAACATGGAAATGGTTAATACGTATCCCTTTGAATCTATCTATCTTTCAATGTCCTCTTAAATGTTTCCCAAGTGCAAAATAGAGCTCCATGAGAAGGTTCTTCAAAAAGTGATCCTTGAATGTCTTTATTTTTGTGCTTTTCCTGAAGTAGACATACGAAATATGTAGAAAGTGAGATCCACAAAGGGTGCTATAATGGATTAAGAAGTATTGGAAATAATAATAAAACAGAATTGACAAATATGTGGCAAATACAAGAGCTTGGCAAAGAGTAAATCTAAAGCATTTATTTGACCGTCGAAATAGAATTTAGAATGCATAGTTGTCAAGTTGTAGATCAATTTAAATAAATTATTTAAATTTGAAATTAGCATAGAGAAACTCTGTTAATCCACCAACAGTGGATTACCCCAATCTCTAATACCCTGCCAAAGAATGAAAAAGAAAAAATAGCTTCTTAAATATATTAGGGTCATAACAAATAAAGCAATGAGGAATATAGTAAAATAAGAAGGTCCATTAGTTCATGCCATAAATAGATTGTAGCACTGAATTATTTAAACAGTTGTTCTTTCTAGTTCATGCAAGTTTTTAAATTTAAATTGTCATTTATTCACCAAATAAAAGGAAGGAAACATATGCATGTAGGCAAACAAGAGGCCATACAGAGATCCAAAGATTGGCAATAATATAGATGCCAGAATAACCCCAAATTTTCCTGGTTATTGAAAAAAGAATGACAAACAAATCCATCCAACCAACAAATACCAATAATTTTTTCACATCAGTAAGGGCGATATAAGATTTGATTACAAGGATAATAGCACACTTAAGACAGTAAATAAAAAGAATGAATCCTTCATAAATCCCTCTCCAAATCCTTGATGCAAACATCATCGACAGATATGGACATATATATGATAAAAAAAAAAATGAAAACCTAAAATGAAAACATGGCATTCGAACAACAGAAAGTCCAATTACATAAAGAAGATTCAAGAAATAGATGATTCAATAAACAAAAACCATTTTAATTATAAAAGAGATGATTCATAAATCAAACTATTTGAGAACCAATATATGAAAACCATTCCAATCATAAAAACCATTCCAAATCTCAGACGTACAGATTTTTTGGATTCAATCTTCTTCAGGTTTACAAAATTTTCGGGATTCATAAGCCTAAAAAATGTGAAGATCGAACAACAACAATGAAAGGAGATTTTCCAAATTCATTCTTTTGTTTCAATTTCAATTCCCTCATGTTACAGAGTACATCCAGAGAATTTCTTTTTTATTTTATTTTCGTAATGGCTTGTGATTTGTCTTTTCCTTTTTCTTTTCTTTTTTTTTTAATCTAAAAAATTTGTTTTTGCTTTGTTCATTATTATTGTTGTGATGATTTCAAAGCTTTTGTTGATGTTCTGCCCGAATTAAAGAATTTTTTGCGTTATTGTGTTCATATAAAGCTCGATTTGTGAATCAACAAAAATGTTTCGTTTTATGAAGACCATGCCTTTAGTTGTCTTATTTTTTTCCCTTCCAAATCATGATCTTAGTTTCTATCAGAATCTTTAATTCTAGAATTTCTTTCTTTGTTGGGTGTTGGACTTTTCACTCAAGAAAACATCATTTTCTGTGTCTAAACTGAAGATATGAGAGGTGATCACACCATAATATGGTGGACCCTCTCACACCAAATCAAATCCTTATATGGTGATTCAATCTTCCCGCAGGAAGAAGTTACTGGAAGTAGGAAGTTTAAGATTTGAATGAAGAGTCACAATAGTTTAGAAACATGGTGATCATTGAGTTTGAATTCAATAACTTGCAACCATTAATAAAATAGCTACCATATGCTATATATATATGGACAATGCATAAATTCAAAGCACTTGAACATCTCTCGATTTTTCCTCTTCCGGATTGTATTCTTCTGCGTAATTAAACACCCTTACGGGAACTTCGATCCATTGCCATTGTTAAGATTATCTTTCATAAACACTTCGCAGCTTTGCCTTAATCCAAAAGCTCTTTTTTAAGTGTTCATATAACTGTGAAAGCACCTGAACCGTCCTCTTTAATTTATGTCTTGATGTTGCCTTTTTGTTTCACCAAAATTCAAGACTCTAAAGTATCTTGGATTGCTGAGATTTCAATGAATAAATTGTGATGGAATATCAGATTTTATCTCTTATGATTTTATCTCTCATGATTTTTTTTTGGGCTTCAATCAAGTGATAAAGACTTCTTTCTTTTTTGTTCTTCTTGTAATTTTATTTTTTTTTTAATTTAAGTTATGTTGGATTTTTCACTCAAACAAAGACAATAATTCCCAAGTTATGAATTTTTTATAGCTAATAAGACAATTTTATTTTTCCATATTCCACATCTTGGAAGGTTTATTGATGCTTGGTCTGATAACAACTATGAGGACAAGAAGATTGAAAACAAAGATAACTTACATTAAAAACAAACATAAAAACAAATTGGATGGTATGGAAATGTGGGAATTTCCCCCCTTCTTTATGATTGACCATGCCTTTAGCCACCTTATTTTTTCCCCTTCCAAATCATGATTTTGGTTTCTATTAGAATCTTTAATTCTAGAATTGCTTTCTTGCTGTTGCCTTTTTCTTTCATCCAAATTGAAGACTCTAATAAAGTATATTGGATTTATGAGATTTCAATGAATAAATTGTGATGGAATATCATATTTATCTCTTATAATTTTTTTTTTGGGCTTCACTCAATTGATAAAGACTTCTTTATAAAAATTTCATAACTTGGGAATTATTGTCTTTGTTTGAGTAGGGTTGGAAATTGGCTATTTTGGAAATGTTGGAATTTTCCCCCTTCGTTATGATTCCTGGCAAAGTCTTTGTTTGTTGAGACATATTGACAAACACCTGGTGTGTAGGGGCAGGGGTGAAAAACAGTGTGGGTAAATATTGTTCAACACACTTGTAAATAGTAGGTATGAAATTACAGATGTAATTACCAGGATTTGCAATAGCAGGAGCGAAGCTTTGGATGTCCAATTTTGATAGCATCATGGCAGCAACAGCACTGACAGTGATGGGAAGAACAGGATAACAGCAACTCCATCCACAAGATATGTATATATATATATATATATATGTGTGTGTGTGTTGTTCGAAGGGGTAACATTTGTTTTCTTCTTCATTTTCGACGTGACTCATCTGAATTCCATAGGACTAACCCAAATTTTGCAATCAAATTTGGCAGGGAGGAGCTTTGGGAAATAAGCAAAGAGCATACCACTGTTTTGGAAAATTTCTATGAGGAGCTTTGGAACTTATTTGTTTCTACCGTCGTGTGTGTGACTAAGCTGAAGGCCACGCAGCGAAGAAGTCCCAGCGTTATACCATTGTTACACCACGCTTACCTTCTTTTTATATATGTTATAGATTACTTTTTTTTAACTGATTTTACTTTTATTACTTGTGTAACTTATTTTTAGTGCCAAAATATAATGACCATTGTACACATGGAGATTTGGGTCAAAGAGATAGTTTTATTTTTTTTTTATTTCTTTGAAATGTGATTATTTCTTTGCAATGTGATTATATAAAAAGCAAGCGAGAAAAATATTTAGGATTTAAAGAAAAATTATAACTCTGTTTGTTTTGACGTAAAATATCTTATATAATTTTTTTTATAAATTGATTTTACACAAAAAAAAATATTTTTATTTTTATTTTTCAGCAGTTAGTTGATATTTGAAATAAAAATATTTTATTATTTAAAAGAGAAATTTTGATTCAATAAAGTATCATTTATGTTAAGATATTTATTTTAAAATGCTAAATGTGTTGAAAAGATAGTAAATGAGAGTTAACTTTGTAAAAATTGACTTACAAAATTTTTAAAAATAAGTTATTTTTTAAAAAATAATGTAAAAATATTTTTCTTAAAAAATATTTCACTTACTTTTTATTCAACCATACAATAAAAAATAAGGGTTCGTTTAGGATGTGAGTTGACTTTTTGGCTATTTTAGTCTAGAATTAAAAATTTTCGTTTAGGATAGGCTTTTTGATTTTTTTGACTTTTGTGAGAGAAAAAATAAAATAATTAGAATTTAGATGTGACATTTTATCTTATTAAGTTAAAAAATTTATTTTATTTTTTATGATTATTTTAACCCCAAAAAATTATTTTAACTTATGTCAAATGAAGACTAATAGAGGTTATATGTAAAAACGAGTTGAGGAGAGTGGACCAAATAAACCGCAATTCCAATCCAAACAATGGAGGAATAACCGAGTTAGAACCCTTGGTAGGGGATGTGATTAGATGGACATGTTTGATTTGCATTTCAAAATATATTTTTAAAGTAAAAATTATAAAATCATGTTTAGTTGAATTTTTTTTAAAATCACTTTTTTTATTATTATATATCAATTAATTATTTTTTCTCTTACATTCATCTATTTAACTATAAAAAATATCAAATCATTGCAAATTTCAAAGCTCTAAAATTATTTTCAAAATATATAATCAAAAAAAAAATTTAATTTTTTAAACTCTTTTCCAAAATTTATTTTTAAACCAGGCTAATATGTTTAAAGTTTGGCTCAACCTAGCCAACTCAATTTTCTTTTAAAATATTTTGAATAAATAACTATGTATATAATGTTACATTTACAATATTTGCATTAGTTTCACACCACGGTTACATTGACATTGGAATAAGAATGTCTGAATAGTGCGCTCAGATTGTGCATCCATTTGTGGGTGAAAAGCGGTGTTGAAACATAACTCGATACCCAAAGCTTCTTGCAGACTTTCCCAAAAAATGAGAGATGAATCGTGGATCACGACCCGATACAATGGATACCAAAATTTCATGTAGTCGAATGATTTCCCCAATATAGAGTTTGCACATAGACTCTAAAGTGTTGGTTATCTTATAGGGTAAGAAATGTGTTGATTTAGTGAGGCGATCCACTATTACAGATATAGCATCAAGCCCTTTGGGTGTCTTGGGCAACCCGGTCACAAAGTCCATTGTCACGTACTTCCATTTTCCATTCAGCTATTGGCAGGGGTCGCAACGTTCCTCTTGGTTTTTGCCGCTGTGCACCCAGCACAGCAGGCGCTGCTGTGCAGTCTTATGGGTTTATTTCGAAATTCGTTTTGATAATTTGAACCGTTCACATTTTAGAATACATCAAGTTTAACATACCTGTAAACCCTCACATTTGTATTTATTTTAATACTTTAAACCACAATGATTAACGATATCCAATTAATTTAATTTTTTACAGATATATTCTACTCGATATATTCTAAAATATAAATGATTCAGATTATAAAAATAGATCCCAAAATAAACTCATAAAACCGCACAACAGTGCCTACTGTGCTAGGTGCCCAGCAGGCACCCCAAATCTGTGTTATCATCACCCCTTTAAAAGCTGGGCGTTGAAGAGTTTGTGCTTGCAATATGCCTCATTCCCTCCTTCCCTCTGTAGAACTTTGCCAATATAATCATGACTCCACATCTGGACCACCCATCAAATTTGGAAAGAAACAAAAACAAAAACATAAAAAGAGAATATACAAGTATCATGGTATCATAATTATCATTTACAAATTGTTAGGAAAAGAGTACAAATTATCACCATATTTATTTATTTGTTTTTTTTTTAAAAAAATATATTTTTATGCCTTCAAGGAAATCACCAACTATCAAAAAACATTTAAAAAAAAAAAAAACACAAACTTTACATTGCCTTGTTCTTGTTCTCATTAGCGCTAATCCTGGAACACTAACCTGATTCAGTGAGTATTTTTAAAAAATTCGACCTTATCAATTCTTAAAGAAACAGCCTCATTTTGCACACACATAAGTAACTTAAAGTATCTCATTATACCACGGTTAATTATTTACATCACTTTGGTCATTAAAAAACATTAACTTAACCTCCCACCCTCACAGGGTATCACTGAATTCAGTGACTCACCCGTTACACGCAGTTAGGTTGTCCTTTAAACTTAGATCTTGGAATCTCTACTCAACTAAATTGAGTTTTCCATTCCAGTAAAATTAACTATAAGTCTTAACCCCATTCTTCATGACGAGGTGAGAAAATTTATATTAAGAAAAGGATCCCCAAAATCTTGAACAAGCAATAGCATAAGAAATTAAGTCTAAACCAAAAATAGTAAAAGGTTCAAAATCCCAACTGACAAGGTTAAATTATACGTCTCCATAACCTTAGGGAAAAATACTAGCTTGCCCTAGGTGCAGCCCACTCAACTCGGAGAATTAGGTTGTCATAACCATACCCGTTGAGTTTGTTAATAGCTTTCTCGGCATCTTCCTTGTTCACAAAGTTAACGAAACCAAAACCTCTACTCATGCCAGTCTTCTGATCAACAGCAACGTAAACACGGCTCACTGAGCCAAAGGTACGGAACAGCTCATGCAAGTCAGCTTCCCGGGTGTCCTCTGAGAGGTTGGTGACCCGGACAGAGTTCTCTTCATTTCTGCGTCTCATGTCTGTCCCAGTTCTTTCTGCACCTGGTCTCATGCCCGGAGGAACATAGCTTCCCTTGCTAGGGCCGGAAGTCACGGTTGGGACTTCTGATGCAGGTGGCTTGTCAATGAAGCCCTCGCTCGGTTGGGCAAGATCCTTGTAAGGGCACCTTGAAGTCCAGTGGTCACCCTTCTTACCACATGTCCTGCAAACCATGAGTACAGCACCTGCTTTCCCAATTTGAGCCAAGGGGTCGCCTGCAACCTTTGTTTCTTCAGATTTGCTGCCTGTTGTTAACAACAAAATATGCGGGAAACAAATTAGAACATCACCATTCAATGGTTATGAACAAAGAATAGTTTCATATTGCTGTGAATTCACTAGAAAATATGAGCTCAACATAAACATTGAAGTAGACCTCTCTAACAACCAAATGGATGAATTATAAAATAAAAGAAGAAAAAAAAAAGAACCAACAGACAAAGTCAATCATACACATCTGATGTAAAAGACAGGATGCCAATATGACCTTGGAATGTGGAATTAACAGTTAAACATGTGCCATGAATGTAATCTTCCAAGGGGCAATCAGCAATCAATCCCATGTAGACCAAAGAGTAAATCAACATTGAGCAAACACAAAGCATACTATTTGACCTATGTTTTCTTCTCTTACGTTAATAAACCTTCACATATATGTTTCTTGACAGGTGGAAAATGAAAATTCTCCGTACAAGCATGCAGACACACACACACATATAGCTAAATGTTAAAACAATGTAAATATAAGTGAGTGAAGTCAGTTACATGTCCCTTGACAACTCGTTCCATAACTTTAATAGCTCTTTCTCCCTGTCTAACATTCTGAGCGTTTTGGGTTCATCTCATTAGTGCGCTTATTTAAGCCCCAACCCAAAATCCAAGCCATCACTAGGCCCCACTTTGTTCTATTTTATATCTTGATAAGTTGGCCCCACCTTAATATTGCTATTTTGAAACGGAGTTTAGAAGTACATTTCTTACTTCTAGTTAACAATAAATATTTTTACAGTTTATGAAATTTTACCAGAAGAAGATTATCCCATAAAAGTTGTAACTCATGTTATAAAGTTCAAAAGAGAATGTTCCACCTTCGCAATGGATGAGTTCAAGATAAATCATCAGACTGTCTACTCAATTTCAACAGTTCAAAAAAGACGGATCATACAATGTGAGAAGAGCAACAACAAAATCTAAAAAAAAAAAAAAAAAAAAAAAAAAAAAAAAAAATGGAGGTCGCTCACTGTGACAATGAGATAGTGGCACCATCATTTAAACATGAGTTTTTGTTCTTAATTCCTATTCATCGCATCATAATCTTCTATATTTCCACAATTATCCTTTGATAAGATTATCATTTAGCAGTGTAGTTTTTGTTTTTGTGTGTGTGTCCGTGTGGTAGGGATTTATATTCCTAATTGAAAACTTTTGAGTTTTGTATTTGTTCCAATGAAACCAAATTCATATCCATGAAATTCCCTATTTCATATGCATCATAAAAGTGCGTATAGAGAACTAAAAGCAGCTAAGGAGATGTAGCGTCAGGTTCATGTCAATGCCATAACACCTTTTTAACCTCTACACATGACAAAACTGGAAGGAGCAAAAAACAAAGATGATAAAAAAAATTAGTTCAATTTTCAAAAATTAACACAACGAATAGACTACAAAATATCGACAACTACATAAATTAAATTAATATTAATTAAATATATAAGTAAAAAATACTTCTGACCCCTAAGAGAACTTTGATCAACCCTTGCTGATGAACTCAATTGTTCTGCAAACAATAGTTATTACATAAATTCTTATGCGAAAGACTTCGCAGCTCGCAACAGTCACTTGGTCCACCAAGCATATCCAGAAAGTATATACCCATTTCAAACCCCAAAAGTGGACCCAACATTTTGATTCCTCTTTCCAAAGGCCACAAACATATGGAGAACAAAAGTGTGAAGGGTACCTACTGACCATTACTTGTTTGGGTACAATCGACCTGTTCATCATTTATGTTGACATTGGTTGAAACTTCCAAAACACCAAGCACACCATTCCTCAAATACATCACCCTTTCTGGCAATAAGAACTCTCTATACATCATTTTTCAGTTTTTAGTCTTAAAAAAGGATGAGATAGCAAGTAGAAAAAGGATCAAAGTTTGCAAATCACCATGGGAGATCTACAAACCACCCCACCCTGGATCGCAACCACGGCCCCATTTTAATTAGTGCATAATTCTCATTTAAGTAGCATTCTTCAACACACTTGCTGTCAGTAGTTTCTAAGAAAATGTTCTCATTTATTTTATTTTATTTTATTTTGCCATTCTTCTCTTCAACTAGAGCTGTGAGGGAAGGTGAAATTTCTCTATTGTGACAACCGAATTTCCCTACTGAGATTTGCCGGTAACTACATTTTTAGTGTTTCCTGAAAAATTAGTTGTTTTTTGAATTTTTTTCTCCACTGTTTTCAGAATTTAGTTTGTCAAACAAGTTTGTGATTTTTGAAAAATGAAAACAAAAAACAGAGCACAGACCTAGTGGGTCTCATTCTATGAATTGTATGTGCACTTGCTATTTTTTTCTTTAATTCAAATGTTCAAGGAATGTCAACCATCTCATACCAGATCAAAGAGAAAGTGCCATAAAATTTCTAATGAACTGGGACAGTGATATGATGTTGACATAAACTATTAATTATTGCATTATGCATGTAAGCACAACATTCCAACCACACATGAGGTCTCACAAATTGGCTGATTCAAGAAGTCTTGTGGGATTGGGACCTCTTCCTTTCTCCTAGAGTAATAATTGTTGGGCCATACCCATTGAGCTTTGTTTGCCATGGAGAAAAATAATAGTGAAAACTTAAATCATTCTATCATTCACTCTCTTTTCCTGCTTTTGAGGATGAATTTGTGTGGGCCCATCCCAAAAAGCTGGTAGAGAATATGGAGATAGCACTACACTATTCTTTTTAGGACATGATGATGATGATCAAAACCTGCTTTTCCTAGTAATTCTAGATTCACATTAGTTGCCTCTTTAACTCCCAAAACCAAAGAAAATGATAAAATAAAATGAAAGAGAAGTGACATGGTGTGCGAATCAACATCCAAAAAACTGACATATAGGATAAAGATGCATACATAAGCATCATGGTGGGCCACACTGCTAAAAAACAGAAAGGATGAGCCATGTTGTTGGACTTAAAAGTATTTACCACATCATATTTAAAATGGTCAACTAAATAATCTGACACAGAATATCCTCAGTGTAAGCTGCATGAGGTGGCACAAGTGGGCATTAATATGAGGGTTCCCCGCCCCCCCTCCAGTGACACAATTGAGTCCATTCACAAACTTAAACAATACAAAAATTAAAATATAAAAATTTAAAAAAAAAAAACATTATGCAAAATGCACAACCAAAGGCATCGTGTGCCAATAAGGTACCTCCACATGCTCCCATCCCAGGTTGAGCTATGCCAACTAAGCTAGTGCACACTGTACCCTAGCTCTGGGCCTAAGGGGACAAGGCATCCATTATGCCACTCAAGCACTCCCTGGCTTGGTGTCACAGGTTGCCTTGCAAGGCCAACTCCGTGACATTTTACTCGCGGTGGTGTGGCCATTTGAGTGCTCAAGAGTGGCCGTTGGAAGTGCCTCAACGTGGCCCGACATTGGCCCCAAGCAACCCAAGGCATGCAAGCCAGCAGCAGCAAGGCCGCAGCCCATGCCAGCAGCCAGCACTAGCTGCCACCAGCAGCAGCCGCTAGCAGCAGCCGCCAGCAGCAAGGCCGCAGCCCACTGCCAGCAGCCAGCACCAGCAGCAAGGCTGCAGCCCATTGCCAGCAGGCGGCAGCAGCAGCCAGCCGCGGCAGATTTTCGGCGCGTTGTTTGGGCATCCAAATGAAGGAATTTTGAGTTGAAATTTTTACTGGAAAGAGGTCTTGGGAGAAGTGTTTTCCCAACCAAGTTTCATGATTTTTCTCAATTTGTGAAATTTTTGAAAAATCATTCACCTTGCTTGTTTCCGCTTTTCAAAAAACACTTTTCAGAAAATTCTACTTTCTTATTTTCCGTATTTTTTTTGTTTTTACTGAATTTTTTTAATATTTTAAGAATTTTTTTGCTTTTTAGACACACCTAACATAAATACACCTAAAAAGTAAAAATATTGTAAAAAAAATCTTTTAAAAATTCACTAAATACCAAAAATACAAAAAAAAATACAAGAATTCAGTACATTTTTTTTAATATTTTTATGTATTAATTAATTTTTTTAAATATTTTTTCACAAATTTTTTACTTTTTAAAAACATCTAAGTAAGGTGTATCTAAAAAAGTAAAAAAAATGTTTAAAATTTAAAAAATATTCACTAAAAACAAAAAAACACGAAAACCAAAAAAGACAGTTTTCAGAAAACTCAAACCAAACACACTGATTATGACTCTTTGGACAAAGGCATATTTCCTCCTGCCAGATGACTAAATGCTTAACAAGCATATATAAGGAGGCAAGGTGCACTACCTACCTGCCTCCCTCCCCAAACTGAGTTTCAAGTGAGCAGCCTTAGGGCAACTCAAGTGCGGGCTTTAGACATCCAGAACGGTGTCTAGAGTCTCCACGTGGGTTTGGGAGCCTTGTGGACGATGCAAAAAATGTAAGCATTGCACGTGCCTCCCGAGGGAGAGGTCCAACACGTTGTTTCTATTATGCCAAGCGATTTGGCATCTTGGGGATTCATTTTAGACCAAATGGGCTATCGAGGCACCACCAAAGACCTCGAGTTGCAACTCAAGTGCTTGGTTTGGGTTCAACCTTGGGGATCCCTTGGCTTATGCTAAGCGGTTGGAAGGCAACACCACATATATGGACTATTGAATGAAAGCATCAAGTAATACATTGACTAAGTCCATTGAGGGATTACATTATGTTACAAACAAGCTACGGATTGAGATGTTGCCTTACTCATGCTACACGTTGATGCAACGCTAAGGTGAGCAATGGCCTTAGGCGGAATCTAACACACGTGTTGGCACGAGGACTACACTGTGGGCAAGAGATTGACCCTCGGTGGCTTGTGGGCTTTGCATAACCATGTGGCTTCCTATATGCATCAATTAAGGCATGCTTGACCCTACGATACTTCGAGATGCTGTCAAAGACCCAACATGCTATGCTAAGTGGAGGGCCTTCACTAGCACATTGTTGTGTGGCTTGGCACCTTGATGACATGAACCTAAGTTGGGTGAGCACCTTGCTTGAGGTAAGCTTGGCGCTATGAAGCAACTTATGCCGTGCTTGGTGCACTTGAGGCATTAGGCCTATTTATGGCATCCAGGTGAAGATGGAGCCTCCTTGTGAAGTTTGTTTTGCTTGACAAAGCATTGGGTCCTAATGTTCAAACGGGTGAGATCATTAACACTCGATTTGTCAACGAGTTATGGCGGGCATAAACTTGGTGGAGTTTGAGCGTCACACGGGCAAAAAATTGATCCGCTGCGCCTCTAAAGGAGTTGGCCTGTGACACTTGGCCAAGAATTTTCTACTTGAATATAGTCCCTGCCCTAGTGACTTACCTGCTTGGTACCTCCTTGATTCAATCGAGTAGTTCTTCAACCAAGTGTGTCCCCTTCTACTAGTGACTTGGAGACAGGAGTTAAGGGTTCGTCATGGTGCCCCCTTCAACTTGATTAGTCTTGGAGAGAGGCACAATCAGGAAGAAAAGGCCAGTGTTGACCAAGACATAACACCTCAAAAGTGTTACCCACTAACACCCCATGATACAATCTCCAAGGTTTGACCACAACTACATTAGGTAGTTTAGAAACCTCCTAAATGTTGAACCAAAGGGATTGAGCCACTTTGCCCTAAGCATAGGACACCTTTTGCAAAGAGCTGGTCCCCATGGTTCGACCCTCCTACACAAGGGGCATTCCATGCATGCCTGAAAGGAACTTGCACACTCTCCACCACCTTCGGCAAAGGTGAAGCCTCTTCACAATTTGGAATCAATGGCTGCAAAACAACTCATAAAAGCACCAAAGCACCATAGTAATGTTTTCATGACTATGCTTGATTCTGGAAACACTTCACCCTACTTGACAATAGAAATCATGTATTTACAATTTTCTAGTGATAAATTTCGTTTGAAGAAATTGAAAATAATCCCAATGTCCCAAGATAGTCAATGATTGGCATCATTGTATTGGAAAACTATTTATGTTAGGGTCACAAATCCTTCAAAACCTACAAAAAATTTACATACTAACTACAAACCAAACGAATATCTGAAAGCAAACTACATGCGGACTGTAAAAAACCCCAATTTGACAAGTCAAAAAGAATTCTTTCAGAGAACACAAATCCTTGGGACCTCCCCATAATAATAGAATCACAGTATGACATGAACTTCCGAATCAAATTCCTCACATAAGCCTTCTAAAAGACAAACTAAAATTCCAAAAGAATCAGCATATTCACACCCTACTGTCAGTGGACAAGAAAACATAATTGGAAATAAGTTCATGCATTAATCATACAGAAATAGGCGTACAATAGCAGGAATAATGTGTTTGCACCATAGGGTTTGACGACTTTCCAATACCATCAATGTAACCGGCGACCAATTTAGTATATCATTTTTCAAGCTTATTTTCGCAATTTTGGAACACCAAAAGAATGAAATTTTGGAATTGCATCCCTTTCCAACTCGTTTCTTTAACCTCAGGTAAAAATAATATGTTAAAAAGGTGTCACCTTGAAGATATTCCCAAGTCATTGTCCATTTTAGAAAACAGACAATAGTTCTAAAAAGCAAAACCAATAGACCATAACTTTCTCCAAATCAATGGAGCCAAACTGCAGTTTAATTGGTATCATAATCGAAGTTTTAAGAGTAAGAAAATTACAAACCTCTTACCTCTATACTCGCTAAACAATTAAAAAAATAACAAAACACAAAAGAAAAAGGGGGAAATTACACCCATAAACCCTCTAGTTTGCCCCGTACTATAATTCTAATTGTATCAATTTTTCCTTTGAATTTTCACATTGTGCCAATTTAGTCTAATTGATAATGCCTTTATTGGATTGAAATCACATTGAAATCAATAGATAAAATAGCTGATTCACTCTCATCATCATCAAAATGGTTGGCGAATTGACGTCCAATTTAAAATTTGTCTATTCTGTTTTGAATGAACCATCGTCCTTAATTTATGTCCAATTTCCTAATTTCCTATTAAACTGACCTAAGTATGAAAAATTAAAAGGTAAATTGATATAATTGAAACTAAAGGATCAAATTGAAAAAAAAAAAAAAAAAAAGGCGAGAGAGCAAACAAATGCTTACCAGGAGCCCTAGGGCGTTCAAGGATGATCTCTTCGGTGGAGACCATGGTGAGCCTGCTGCCGACGTCCTCGTGGACGGCGTCACCGAACTTGGGCCAGGAGCGGCGCTCGACGGCGCGTTTGCTGAGGCGAGCAGAGGCGAGCTTTCGAATGCGGGTGGTGGTGGTGATCTTGACCTTGTTTCCCTCGTCGTTGAACTTGTACTCCACCACCTTCTTCACCCCGTTCTCGTCCGGTCCGATCTCCTGGCGCCGCGGAAGCAAGAATTCGAGGTCCTCTCCTTCATCTTCCTCCATCTCTCCCCACCGGAGCTTGTTGGACTGTGCCGGAGCCATATCTACGCCCATCGCTGCTACTGCTAGAGAGACAAATAACAGAGAGTAAAAGTAACCCTGGTTTTCTGATGTCGTCTAGGGTTCTAGAGTTGTGGTGTGGTAGAAGATGAAGGATCCAATATACTGTAAAATACCTAAAGCCCATTAAAATAATACTCTTGGTAGCCCATCAGCCCACTTGTGACCATATGAAGTAGTAATATCGAAATTTGTGTAAAAAATATTTTTTAAATAATAAAAAAATTTAAATAAAAATTAAAAAAGTGTGAAAACTATTACTATAAAAAATTACTGTAAAGTTTCTTGAGATCTATACTTAGAAATGTTTGAGAATTGACATTTTAGTATTTTTTTTATGAAAATATGTATAAAAAAAAGGGTTAAAATGATTTGATAATTTATAATAATTTTTTAATTATTTTAGTCTCTTTTCAATCAGGTCTTTATTTTTTCTTTTTCATGTATGTACACTAGATAATAGGACATTTTTGTTATATAACTCATTGTTTTTTTTTTTTTTTCTTGACTCTTTTCATTATAGGCTCTTTCTTAAATTTGATTAGTAATTAAGCTAGTTGAGTCTTTCCACTTTGGAGAGTTCTTTGTTGAATTAGCGATTGAGCTTCTATAATTGTTTTAATATAATTTTTCTTATATTATAAATAATTTCTTATCGATTAATAAAAAAAATTATCTTACCAAATAGTAAATTATATTTTGTTTACAAACATCGGAATATTAATGTAACAGTTTTCTGTGTGCATGCTCGGGCACTCAACAAGGGATCCAATAAGATGATTTAATTATGAGGCATTTACATGCAAGTCTTATTTTGTGAACTTATACTCCATTAAGTCTAAAACAAAATCATTTGCTCCTTCAAGTCCTATTAATTTTTAATAGCCTCATTTATTCTTCCAAGACCTCCTCCATAGCTGTCAAACATCCATTGCTATACTTCATTCCCTCTCTCTTACTCTTACTCTTACTCTATCTCTCTCTCTCTCTCTCTCTCTCTCTCTCTCTCTCTTAGCCGAGAACATGTCAGTTCTACGAACTATATTGCCCGAAGCTCGACATCACGACATCTCGAACCAGATCTAGAAATGAATCAGACTTTGAAGGAATCTCCCCAAAGCCCTCACCGCTGCAATCTCCCACCAGTGGCCATAGATTCTCGTCGCTGAGATTCTCCGACAGCCATAATAGCGTCCCTTTCTTGTAATCGTTTCTTCCTTAAACGATTTCGACTCCGTCAGCCCAATCCACTCAAGGCTGGATCATCATCATCGGCTCACTCGCATGGGCTCTCTCTCGGAGATGATCACATCAAACTAATCTCTCTCTCTGCAGTTTGGGTGTTGAAACTTTTTTTTTTTTTTTAAATAGGTAATACCGGATAGTTTCATAAATTTTGTTGTAGATTATCAAATTTTATTGAATTTGCAAAAGTTTTTTGAAATTGAGAATATTCTCAGTTTATAATATTCTCAATTTTAATCATGAAAAAAAAAACTCAATTCATCAATCTAATGTGTCAGGTTCGCCGAATTATCTTTCTTTTCAATCCCATACTTTTCTCATAAGCCAAACATAAATTTTTTAGTTTTGATAATTATATACTAAAATCATTCTCTGTTTTGAAAATTGAGAACATTCTCAGTTTTGAAATTGAGAACATTTTCAGTTTGGGGATTAAAGGGCAAAACGTCTTTTTACTTATAAATGGGACTTATTGGTTCAAAAACTTATTGACAGGACCTAAGCTACCACCAAATATGTAGACAAGACTTTTTGGTAATTAACTCTTTAATTAGTTCATTTTATGAGTTTCTATGTATAAATTATTGTATTTGATAATTATAATAATATAATTTTATTATATTTATTTTAGAAGAATAGATTACAAACAAAATTTAAAGTAAATCATCTATTTGTTTACATAAATATGATAAATTATATGGTTACAGTTATTGAATTAATTTAATTTTTTCGTGAATAATTCACACTCAAAATCTAAATCAATTAAATTTTTTCATGAATAATTTACCACTGAGATATGTAAGCAATGGTGTAAACACAAGTGTGTGTGGAACCACTCCCAAATTTTAAATAAGAAATGTTAGAGATTCATAATTTTAAATTTAAAAATTCACCTATAATGATTTGACAATAGAGTTGATCTTTATCTTATTGGGTATGTAACAAATCAAAAGTTAACATTTATTATAATTTTTTTTTAATAGTCTCAAACATTTTCCATTTTAAATAATCTCATTATCCTTAGTATGTTGAAAATTTATAAAGGAAATTAGTATTTTTGACTCTTCAAAATCTATGTAATTGAATTTTACCCTCAAATTTTAAAGGAGCATTTAAATACAAGTCTCATATTGTGAACTCATAATCCATTAAGTCCTAAATAAGATTATTTGCTCCTTCAAGTCCCATTAATTTTTAATAGACCAATTTACCCTTAATTTACCCTTCTAAGACCTCCTCCATCAATGCCAGATGTCTAACTGCATGCTTGGTGTGAGTGTAAGTTGTTGTCTTCATTCTCTCTCCCTTACTTTTACAGTCACTCCCCAACAACTACAACCAAACATCCCCTTCACTCTCATTTGTTTTCTCTCTCTTTTTTTAGTTTCAGACTCTCTCTCTCGCATATAAAAAATGGAGCCCAAGCTTTTTGACTTTGGTTCTCTCCTTATCTCTCTCAACATCGTCAACACCTACATCGACTCCTACACCATCATCGTTCTCCTCCACCATGCCAAATCAAAGCTCGTCTTCTCGATTTCCATATTTGATCACTAGTTGTAGACGCGCCCTCGGGCCCCATGCTACAGTTTGGACTCGATTTGTGTCACGGTTCTTAATCTGATTTCACAATGTGCAATGTCAGATTGATAAATCACCAAAGAGTCCAAATCCGGCAAATCGTTTTGGAAAACAGATTTTTGTAAAGAAGTGCCAAACATGGACTGCTTTGCCAGATACAGAGTCGCCACCTAAATATTTATTTTGGGAAAATTTAGGAAACCCTGACTCGTTGCCTAAGGCCACGTGTCCGTCATCACCAAAGTTGCTTCGGCTCGGGAACTTGGGTACGATTGGGGAAGGTCAGCTATGAGCACCCCCTCTCGCCCGATCCAAAGATCGGCCTCTACTAACCATGATATCCAGTTTTAAAAACATTATTCGTTCTTATTCCGGTTATTAGCCTAGATTTGCTATGTGATGCGCACAGCAAAACAAGTATAGACTAGATCGCCTAATTTGGAATAAAGCATTGCATATCCATTTGTTTGGGAAAATGGTTTGAAGTTTGCTACTCGCAAGTAGGCTAAAATACAGATTTCAATGAATTGTCCCAATATAAGCAATCCAACCTTCACCCACAGGCATTCAGGCAGTTATATCACATAAACAATTAGTCTCATGGCAAGCATGCTGTCATGGCAACACTCACACGCATGCAAGAATGCTAAAGCATAAGCACTTACCGAGTACTCCGAGCCGAAACAGAAACTAGTTAGTAATCAAATGCATGATCCTAGTTCATGTTAAGATGACTAATGCAACACATGCAAAGATGCAACTAGAATAGGCTCGGCTACCCTAAGAATGACATATGAGATGCGACAGTTCAATACATGTATTCAACTTGGAATTGAAATACAATACAGTTAGTATGATGCGCCGAGCCCGGTGCATGCAATACAAATGAATGATACAAACATGCGAACATAATGATGCTAATTGAAATATGTCCTAGTACTAACCATCAAAAGCAGGTAAGTAAAAGGGAGAAAAAAGTGGGGATTGGAAGACATGCATCACACATACGCACGCTTATTACAGTTGTGCCCTCACTCGGAGGGTTCGAATAAATAATACATACCGAATAAATAATTAATTACTTTAGCTAATTAAATATTACAAACCCTTAACCAATTAATCAACTTAATTAAGCTAATAAAGCAGTAAAACAGTCCCGGGAAGAGGGATGAATGCATGCTCGGATTGGCTTCGCTCGGAAACCCAATGCCATGCCACTGTTGCCTCTGTTTACACTGTTTTGCACCTCTGAAAACTGCATAAGTCTCCGGGATGCTTCTGAACCACCTTCTGAGCACTGTAGAAGGTCACCGGCCAAGAGTAAAGGCCACCGACCATCCATCGACCATGGATATTGATATCGGCCACAAATGTTTGGTCGGTCGGCACTGTAGATGGCTGATCGGCCATGTCTTCCTGCAGAAACCTATTTTGACAGCAGCAGAGGACAGACAAGGCATGGCAATGCATTTCAAAGCAAATGTTTGCACAACCACACTCCATATCATGTTTAAGACTCAAGGGAGTATGGTGCTTGACCCTCAGACCACTAATCGCACATTTCCATGCATGATGGCCCAAGAGGCCAAGTTGTGCATTTTGATTTCAAATGACATGCAAACCGAATAAACACATAAAGCCCAACCTCTATCATACTCAATTCAAGAGGCAAAGCATGCACGCTCTATGCAATGCAACCTAGGCATGGAGGCTAAGTATGCAACATGAACATGAGGGCAAGTATGCAAGTTAGCGAACATGCAAAGTGTAATCTTAACCATGCAAGCATGCAAGATGCAACATGGACAACATGTTAAGTACAATTTATGCCAAATGCATTAAAACCTAAGCATGCAAAGGTGCAATGTATCAAACATGCAAAATGCAATGTAACAAGCATGGAACGAGGCCAAATATGCAACAACACATAGGGCAAGCATGCAACAACATGCTAGAATGGTCTTAAACTAATTTGGGCAGCTCTCAACTAGGCCCAAAACAGTGACCAAATGCTAAGGAAATGGGGGCCAAGTACACATACAATCATGCATGCAAATGGACCAACACTTAAGCATAAAATGAGGGACTCTTAAGCACACTTAAAAGAGATGAACATGGACACATGGCATGCATACTAAGCTCTGAAATTATGTTAGAAAAGGTGCCAAAGCAACTAAATAAATCAAGCAAAACATGCTCATGGCTTTACACACTCAAGGCCTACAAGCTAGAATGCAAAGAGACTATACAAAACATGTTGAGCATGACCA